CTTATTTTAAGTGTACCTGTCTTATGGGGGAGGGTATGTGCTATGGCAAGCGCTGTGAATTGTGCAAGACTGTTGAATCACAGATCTGTACTTCTGAAACAAATAATGCGATATATGTTAAGGAAAAAAAAAAAGAAGAAGATAGCAGGAGGGGAAGAATGAAGGGGGGGAATCGGAGGGGGAGACGAACCATGAGAGACGATGGACTCTGAAAAACAAACTGAGGGTTCTAGAGGGGAGGGGGGTGGGGGGATGGGTTAGCCTGGTGATGGGTATTAAAGAGGGCACGTTCTGCATGGAGCACTGGGTGTTATGCACAGTGAATCATGGAACACTACATCAAAAACTAATGATGTAATGTATGGTGATTAACATAACAATAAAAAATTTTTTAAAAAAGAGTACCTGTCTTAAAATAAGTATCAGTACACAGTGGTTATTAGGTGACAGACTTAGGGGGGCCTCAGGTGCTCTTCTGAGGGGGTCCCTTCTTCCTTGTGCAATTTGAAAAATTATATTTTGGGGTGCCTGGGTGGCTCAGTCTGTTGAGCGTCTGCCTTGGGCTCAGGTCATGATCTCAGGGTACTGGGATCGAGCCCCCACATCGGGCTCCTTGCTCGGCAGGGAGCCTGCTTCTCCCTCTCCCACTCCCCCTGCTTGTGCTCTCTCTCTCTCTGACAAATCAATAAATAAAATCTTTTAAAAAATAGAAAATAAATAAAAAATTATTATGACCATGTTGACATAAAGATAAATATATTACTGTTCTGTATGGAAACATTTCTTCACCTGAAAAGCTCCATTTCTCTTCTGTTTTAAAAGAAATTCAAGCATTTTTATGGGCCCCTAAGTCTACTGTGGGCCCTGGGTACTGTGCCTAATAGTGCCTAATGCATAAGTCAGCCGTGGGTGAGAGGCTTATTTGTGGAGATTCTTCCCTCTCCTGTTTCAATGTTATAACTGCTTTCTGGAAGTTGCTGGCCCCTCTGGCACTCAGGATATACACTTCTAGCTTACCCCAGCCCGGCTACCCCAGCCACTGGAAAGGTCTGAGTGTGGAGCCGCTCACTCCCCCAGTCCTGCCCCTCTCCTCAATTTAAACCCGGGTCTTCGTTCCTCTGACTCAGTCTCATTTCCTGGGACTATTCTTGGCCTGTGAAATGGCATTGAATTATCTGATGAACTATTTCTCACTGAGGTGTTGTTCCTCCTCTACTCCTTCTAGGATATTTGCATTTTGTTAACAGAACCTTTAGAGACTCTCCACCATAATACACAGCCATATATCTGATGGAGAAACTTTAGTCCAGCAAAAGATACACTTCAAAGGTTGAACTTTGAGAATCGTTGATTGTCTTGTGCCAGTCGCTTGATATCTACTGAGGCCGTGCATTTGACTGGTCTTGGTGACATAACTTTGATTAGAAAGTTCTATGAGGCAGAACACAGACTGCCCCCAGAATTCTCCTGGTAAAGTGTCCTACCTGATGGAGCCCTAATGGAATTCCTTTTATCCAACATCACTTAAGGAGGACTTCTGCTCCCCATCTGAAGTCATCCCTCCAGCTGTGCTGGTGGTGACCCCACACATATACTTAAGAAACAAGTCTTATTCCCTCTGTGCCTGTTATTTCCTAGGTTTGGGCAGGAAGGTGTTCTGAGATGACACTGTTTATAAAGGGTACCATTTACAGTACAGCACAAGCTCTGCAGGGCAAATTTTGGCTTGATTTCTAGCTTTATTGCCTTTTTTTTTTTTTTTTTTTTTTTTTTAGAGAGAGAGAGAGAGAGCACACAAGTGGTGGGGGAGGGAGAGACAGAAGCTCAAGCAGACACCCTGCCGAGCATACAGCCTGACACAGGGCTCGATCCCAGGACCCTGAGGTCATGATCTAAGCTGAACCAAGAGGACGCCCCTGGCTTTATTGCTTATTATTTGTATGACCTTGAAGTGTTAGTCTCCAAATTTTATTTTCTCTTCTGTAAATTGGGGAGGGGAGGTGGTTGGGTAGAAGTAATACCATACCCATAAAGGTGTTGTGAGAATTCTTAGTTATTGTGAGAATTAAATGAGACTGTCCATGCAAAGGCCTTATCATGACGCCTAGCATGCAAACCCTCAATGAATGACTGCTATTATTATTATTATTATTGCCACCACCACTAAATCCGGTACAGCCCCTCCAATCCTGACAGCTTAGAGAAAGTGCTGGTGCTCCTTCCCAGACTCTGCAAGGCACTGCCCAGGGAGTGGCCTGAGCAATGGGAGAATCCAGCAGAACAGGTTCTTTCAAAGCAGTGGAAAGTAGATCAAAGGCGGCAATCACCCAAACCTGGAAAAAGAATGTGTTCCTTTGTTTGTTCTGTACTAGTTGTGAAAAAACTTTCAAAATGTAACTTATGCTGGAATAAAAGTTGTGGCCGCTCTTGAGGTAACATGACTGAGCCTCTCCAGTGTATGTTCTTCCTGACCCCCGAGGACAGACGGGGGACACTTTGAGTTTCGGCTGAGCGTGGTGATGGCTGACGGTGTTCTGTGATGATGTTGCGTACATTAAGGAGTAGCGAGCTTAGCCGTCAGCAAACATGCAGAGACAGCAGAGATGGTGGAGTGGGGAGCTCCACACCCAGGGGCAAAGTATACCTCTGCCTTGCTACAGATTGCTCATCACCCAATGTGAAATTTCATGGGACTTGGTTAGGCCTCTTGGCTGAAAATAACAGAAGCCCAACTCATACTAGCTCAAGCAAAAGGGGGCATTTATTCTAAAGATTCCACACTGTATCAAGGAAAACAAGGCAAGAGGCAGACTGATATGAGATTGAAACCCAGCCCTCAAATTTTGCCAAAACTTGTGTCTCCCTTCTCTGTGTTAGTCTTCTCTCTTTCTACAGACTCACTTCCTCTGAGGCTTTGGTTGACATATTGGAACAACAGCTCACAAGTTTTGTAAATGACGATGCAGTCATCCAAAGAAAGCCTGGTCTCACTTTCTCCAATTCCAGAATTTCTGTGGCAGGAACTGATTGGCCCAGTTGAGGTCAGGTTCCTTTCTCTGATTACCATTTGGCAATGGGAAAAGGTAAAAACTGGTTAGAAGAGCATGGGACATCCACTCCAACTATATACTGCTTGTGAGTGAGCAAAAGCACAATAAGGAATTATTGAAATAGGGATTGATGAGCTACATGACAAGAAACATGCTGTTCACATTTGGCCCTATAACTGCATCCTGGCCATTCCCAGACTCCTCTCATTTCACCGGAGATTTGGGATGTCATCTGCTCGCTGCCCTTGGTCCCTTCACGCTGGGCAGACCCTAGCCCTAAACAAGCTGATTGTGGTATAATATATTGGTAATGCCACAGGCTGTAGAATTGCACAGACCTGGAGTTAAAGCCCAGGTCTGCCGCTGACTAGCTGTGTGACACTGGGCAAGTTACTTAGCCTATCTGAGCCTTAGTCTCCTTATCTATAAAATAATAGCTCTAAAATAATACATATCGAATCGGGTTGTTGTAAAGACTAAGAAAATAAAGTAACCATATTTAAAATACTTGGCATATAATAGATGCTCAGTTATGTTAATTTCATTTTCTAATTAGGTTACCTAGAACTCTTCAGGAGGGTGGAGGAGTGGTAGCAAGTGAAAAGAGAGAAAAAGAAAAGTGGTAGCATTTTGTATCTGGGAAGTATCCTGCCTCAGGTATTTTACAATTATCCTGAGCAAATATTAAATAATTTAAGTGGGTCAGCTGCACTGGGAGAGCCATACTTGAATAGATATAGTCTCTCACTTGAGAGGTAAACCAACAAGGATCTCAAGATCAATGGTGAATATTTGTTTCTCATTAATTTACTGGTATGACTGTATGGTCCTTAATTTCTTTCCATATAATATCTAAAGTCCACGTAATGCAATCTAATCACTGAGTTAGTGAATGAAGTGCTTTAACATTTGATTGTGACTGTTGCGGTTTGGAGAGGCTCTCCTCTTTGAGAATGTAGTAAGTCATTTTTTTTTTAATATAAACTAGAATTTATTGAGTTCTGATGATAGTAAGCACCGTACTAAACTTCTACATGCATTGTCTCATTTCTTCCTATGAATTCGGTGCTATCGCCCCCATTTTCCAGATAATGAAATTGAGGCTCGGGTATGTAGAGTGGCAAGGTCACTGAGCACTCAGTGATAGAACAGGAATTTGAGCTCAGCTTAGCCGGTTCCAGAGCCTGAGTTCTTAACAATGCGCAGTACTGGTTCTCTGCACCTTCATTTTGGTTATCAGTTCTCGAGACGGGCAACGTAAGAAATGAATCCCCAGGAAAATCTGTGCTTAGAATGTCTCATTTGATAAAGGATAATCTCACGGCATTCGTGCCCCCACACGACGTTGCTGCACGGGCTTGGATGCAAAGCCTCGGAATTACAGGAAGAAAAATAGTAGAACAACAGATACACTATCTCCTTGGGTACAACAACTCTTCTGATTACTCACTTAGAGGATAATAGTGATGAAGGGTTTCACAGATGAAAAAGAGAAACTGGAAATTATGTCCCACCTTTAGACTGTTCAGCATTTCCCATCTTGGTCAAAATTGTGCTCATTCCAGTTGTCTGTTGCTGTGTGGGGTCGTGTGTGCATGCGTGTGGAATATTTTGGCCTGCTCCAGAAAACCACATTTGGTGACCAGTTGTAAGTATTATCAATGACTCCTGATGATATGTGAAGTATTTTCCATCCATTGACCTATGTACCGATAACGGGAACCAACGGGATCTCTAATCACTAATTGACCTGCTCTTCCAGAAACCATTTATTCTGTTTGGTGAGTTTCATTATATCACAGACTGTGCTTCATTTGTACCTTTTTCTTTTTGAATTCATCCTGTGTGTAGATGGAAAAAAAAAAAAACATGTAAATATCATGTCTCTTTTGACTAAAAGCATATCTGGATTAATATCTCATATTTTTATTTTTCATTCTCTGTTTTCAGCTCCAGGGTTCCTTGAAAAGAAAACAGGTGGTTAACCTGTCTCCTGTCAACAGCAAGAGGCCCAATGGCTTTGTTGACAACTCATTCCTTGATATCAAGAGAATCCGTGTGGGGGAGAACCTCTCTGCAGGACAAGGGGGCCTGCAAGTAAATAATGGACAAAATCAGATTATGTCAGGGAGCTTGCCCATGAGCCAAGCACCCCTGCGGAAGACTAACACTCTGCCACCCCATACACATCCTCCTGGAAATGGTATCTTTAACATGGGCTTAAAGGAAGTGAAGAAGGAACCAGGAGAGACTCTATCTTGCAGTAAGCACATGGATGGCCAGATGACCCAGGAGAGCATGTTTTCCAATAGGTACGGAGAGGACCCTGTAGAGCAGCTGATGGACCCAGAGCTGCAGGAACTGTTCAACGAACTGACCAACATATCTGTGCCTCCCATGAGTGACCTGGAGCTGGAGAACATGATCAATGCCACCATCAAGCAGGATGACCCATTTAACATTGACTTGGGTCAGCAAAGCCAGAGGAGCACTCCCAGGCCCTCCTTGCCCATGGAGAAGACAGTGATCAAGAGTGAATACTCCCCGGGCCTAACCCAGGGCCCCTCGGGCTCCCCTCAGCTGAGGCCCCCATCAGCTGGCCCTGCATTCTCCATGGCCAACTCGGCGCTCTCCGCTTCCTCCCCGGTCCCTTCTGTCCCTCAGAGCCAGGCTCAGCCTCAGACAGCCTCGGGAGCAAGCCGGGCCCTGCCGAGCTGGCAGGAAGTATCCCATGCCCAGCAGCTCAAGCAGATCGCGGCCAACCGTCAGCAGCATGCCCGGATGCAGCAGCACCAGCCTACCACCTGGTCGGCCTTGCCCTCCTCCGCTGGGCCATCGCCAGGTCCGTTTGGGCAGGAGAAAATCCCCAGCCCTTCTTTCGGTCAGCAGCCATTCAGCCCGCAGAGCTCCACAATGCCTGGGGTGGCGGGCGGCGGCAGCCAGTCGAAGGTGATGGCTAACTACATGTACAAGGCCAGCCCGTCGGCCCAGGGAGGGCACCTGGACGTGCTCATGCAGCAGAAGCCTCAGGATCTCAGTCGGAGTTTCATGAACGCCCCGCACACAACCATGGAGCCCCGGCATGGCAACACTAAGCCTTTGTTCCATTTTAACTCAGATCAAGCAAGCCCGCAGATGCCTTCTGTTTTGCCTTCCCAGGCTAAGCCTTCTCTCCTGCACTACACCCCGCAGCCGCCGCAGCCGCCCCCGCAGCCGCCCCAGCAGCCCCCGCAGCCGCCCCCGCAACCCCCGCAGCCGCAGAGCTCCATTTCAGCTCAGCAGCCCCCACCGCCGCCGCCGCCGCAGTCCCAGCCCGCCCAGCCCCTGTCCAGTCAGCCTTTGCTAAGGTCCCCCTTGCCGCTGCAGCAAAAGATCCTGCTTCAGAAAATGCAGAACCAGCCCATCACAGGCCTGGGGTATCAAGTCTCCCAACAGCACCGACAGGTAAGACCGTAAGTTTGCTACCCCAAACGCAGAGGACTCGGAGACCATTTAGCCTGGTTCTTATGCTCCGGTTGCAACTTCTGTGTTGGGGCAGAATCAAGACCGCGAAGATAGTAGTGGTCCTGTCGGATTCCCGGGAAGGCCTCCTGAAGCCCAGTTCGCACGGGGCATCTGGAGGCAAGAGCTAGTATTTCCTTGTAGATCATTCCTCTCATTGGGATCTGCAGCAGTCAAAGGCTCTTGCTTATTCAGAATGTTGCCTTGTAATTCATGACCTTTCATGACATGTCCCTTTGGCAGTAAGATTTGGATACACCTGATGTTTATTCCTCCAGTCAGTAAGTCGGTCATTAAGTCCACATGAGCGTCCTGAGTACCTACCATGTGCAAGATGTTGTGATTATGCTGAAAACTGAAGTAAGTCCAGACATGATATTAAGAGTATTTAATGACCCGTCTACATCCATACCAACCAATTGAAATGCCCGAATGCGGAACGCATTGTAATAGATCCTGCTGTGACTCCATGCTGGTGCATTAAATAAGACATGGTCCCCATTTTCAGGCACAGTCTGGAGAGAGAGACAGGCTTTAAAACTCTCATTTGAATACTAAGTAGAAAGGCTAATGACATGAGAGCACAGAGGTTGGTGTCTTACCATGCAAGGGGAAATCAGGGAAGTCTTTTAGAGAAAGTAATGCCTGCATTAAGTGTCAAATGATGAAATGGTCATCACTAGAAACAGGAAAAAAATATCTGTGGTTACCTTATATCCTGTGATTAACATAAAGCAGAGGTTTTATTCTGCCCCAGACATGAATAGTATGAAGAGATAGCTCGGTGCCTCCAGAGCACACACTAGTGAGGAATTTCAGATCCCCAGGGAATTTGAGAGCGGAAACTCTTCCTGGAAGGAAGAAAGTCTGAATGTTGCTTTGTGCGTGTAATTTGATGGGTCTCCGTTAGTGGCCAAGCACAAAGACAACACGTTACACGTCAAAACAATATGTCAGGATATTATGACGGCACTGAGCCTAATTCCAATCACATTCCTAGAGTAGTTTTTGTGGCTACTGCCCAGAAAAGAATGCCACAAGCACCACAGACCGTGGCCAAGCTAACCTTTGCCCTAGATGTGTGCCAGGAGAAAACTGCTCAGCCAGCATTCGAGAGCTCTGCACCAAGGAAAGCTTTGAACTCTTGTCCACTTAAGAAGTGTGGGGGGTTAAAAAAAAAAGTGTGGGTTTTTTTTTTAATTGTAGTTGATGAAGAATGGACTTGAGTAGAGTCATGTGTATATTTTACAAAGTTCCTTTTAAACAGGTAATTTGGGGATCGTTGATAAACGGTATTGTGGAACTACTTCCTAATGGCGTGGTTTGTCATTTTGGTTTGGATGAATCTAGGTTCAAATTCCTACTCTGACATTCACTAGCTGTGTGACCTCCAGCAAGTCACTGGACCTCATGAAGCCTGTGTTTTCTCTCCTGTAAATGGGGGTGATAATAATATAGCCTAGGATTTTTTTTTTAGAATAAAATTAAGGGGCACCTGGGTAGCTCAGTTTGTTAAGCGTTCCACTCTTGATTTCAGCTCAAGTCATGATCTCAGGGTGGTGGGATCGAGCCTCGGTCAGGCTCTGTGCTCATCAGGGAGCCTGCTTGAGATTCTCTGTCTTCCTGTGCCTCTGCCTTCCCCGCAACATGCGTGCTCACACACTCTCTCCCCGCTAAAAGAAATCAATAAATATCTTAAAAATGAGATAATTTTGCACCCAGAGTTTAGAATAAAGTTGACAGTTGTTATGATTATCATGGAAAGAGCCATATATGATCTCAGAATGTTTTTAACAAGTATTACTCTTACGTAGGAGATGGAGTAAGTCTCAAGTTCTAACAAAGAGTTTTGAGGAATAAAAGAAAACTATCCTTCATTATTTTATTATCCAGCAGTATAGTGAGTGGGTAGTGATTTACCCTCCCTAAGCCCAGACTTCTGATCATAAAAATGGCAATAATAAATAATGGGATATTAATAAAAGGTAGTGTTTATTATTTACCCTGTAACTGGCATGACTTCTGTCTCTCTTCCTTATGGTATCTCATTTCACCTATAGGAAGGAAATCCCATTGTTCTCATCTTACAGGGGATGCACGTGAGGCACAGAGAGGCTAAGTAACTTTTCCAGAGTCACACAGATAAGAAGTAGCAGAGCTGGGATTCTGATGGTCTGTTGTGCTTTTAGCTCCTGGCTATACAGCTCATAGGTAGAATTTGTTGGGAAATGAATGACCACTTAGAGACGATTGTGAAATTCTCAAAAAGAATATTTTCTTTAATACTGAGCCATATTTACATAATCTACAGGGTAGATGAAGTCCTTTGGGGATAAAGAAAGTTTTTTTTTTTTTTAAAGATTTTATTTATTTATTCATGAGAGACACACAGAGAGAGAGAGAGAGAGAGAGAGAGGCAGAGGGAGAAGCAGGCTCCCAAGGAGCAGGGAGCCCAATGCGGGACTCGATCCCAGGACCCTGGGACCATGACCTGAGCCGAAGGCAGACGCTTAACCATCTGAGCCACCCAGGCGCCCGGGGATAAAGAAAGTCTTAAATTCTAACCTTCAGAGTTGTTATAGAAGAGAATCAATATCTGTGTGACTGTTGACCTTCCTGAGGGTGAACATTATGGAGCTAACCAAAGTAAGCCATTTACAACAGGAAATATGTCTCTTTGGTCACCCCGTCAGCCCTTCTTTGGGAGCCTTCCTGCCATCCTCGGTCCTGTTTCCAGCTCCATTTCTCCTGTCTACAACTGTACACCACATTCACGACCTCTTCGTCCTCATCGAAGCTTCCAGAACCCAAGCACACCAGTGGGTGCTGATGGTCAAATCAACATACATCTTTCAACGTCTTAGATAATATTTAACTGTTTCCAGTGCCTGTGACACATGATGCCAAGATAATTTTCCTCTTTTCAAGAAAGCTCTTAAAAAGTGGTGGAAGCAGTAGCAGTGTTTCAAGCCAAAGGCCCCTTCTGTACATGCCAGACATGGCGACCCATTTACGGCTTTATCCTAACTTTGTAGATTGAATCAAATTGTCCCTTCCTGTTCAACAGTTCCAAGAGGGAGGATTCGGAAGTCCTGTGTCTGAGTTGTAAGCAAGCATACCAGAGCTCTATGGTCAAATAAGTGGTGCCCTCTTAAAAGCATTCACCTTTGTGGGGCTGAACTTATGCTAATAAGGGTGCTGTTGTTCAGCACGGTTACAGAATTTTGCTCTGGGGATTGTCTTCAGAGCTTTTAGCACATTGAGTGGATTATTACCAATGCAGTAATATTCATCCTGGCAGGGTGATCTTTGAAAACAGTCAAGATGGGTAATGCTGCTTTGGGTCAAAAACAAGGAATAAGTGATAAGATAGGACTGGATTTCAAATATGGCTTGTGAACTTTCTCTGAAGGCAATAAAGTAAATAAATGAGTTGCTTTCCAAGACGGTAATTTTGAGAAGCAACTTCCATTTGGATTGCATATTTTTTTTAAGATTTTATTTATTTATTTGACAAGAGAGATAGAGAGAGAGCACAAGTAGGCAGAGAGGCAGGCAGAGGGAGAGGGAGAAACAGACTCTCCACTGAGCAGGGAGCCTGACGTGGGGCTTGATCCCAGGACCCTGGGATCATGACCTGAGCCGAAGGCAGCCACTTAACCGACTGAGCCACTCAGGCACCCCTGGATGTGCATATTTTTAAGGTTTTTCTAATTCTTTTTTTTTAAATTTTTTATTATGTTAATCACCATACATTACATCATTAGTTTTTGATGAGGTTTTTCTAATTCTTATTGTCTCATCTAGTATATTGCTAAGTATTCTCAGCTCAGAGAGGGTAGTTTTAACCCCACCGTTTATAGTAGACAGAACAAAAGTGCATTCTTATTTCCAATTAGCAAAATCTGTGTTACTCATGACCGAAGCCACAGGAGGGGAAAGATGGGGAATTAAGCAATTCTTAAGTTTATCAACTAGAGTGTCCTAAATGAAAGCACTGGTCATAAATTTTCTTTTGCTTGACATACTCACTTTGTGTCAAACATAGGAAGACTTATTACGGGATTTTTCTAGTTGGAATTCTTTCACCTTGGAAATGGTGGAAACCTTGGCTTTCTGCTACAAGATGGTAGATTGAATTTGTCGATCAGTTGCTTGTAATTTACCCAGCAGAGTGTGCAAAGATGGCCTTCTCGTCACCCTTCAGAACTCTGCACCCAGACAGATCTGCATGCTCAAAGAATATACTGGGGGGAGTCTGTGCCCCTCTGTCTTAATTGGGTACCCATCTCCATTCTCCAAACGTGAATGGTTCCTGAGAGATGGATGCAGCATAATTGAATTGTTAGAGATCTCTTTATCGTTTCATGCCTGGGCTGGTTTCAAGTAAGCCCTTCTCCAGATACTGAGAGAACAAATGGTATTTGGTATTTCACAAAATGTCTTCAGTGACTCTGTCTTGTTAAGGTTTGGGGCTTGGCAAATGGAAATACCTCCTGGGTATAATTTCCTTTCCTTTCTGATTTAAAGGTTATGGGAGAGGGCAAGAGAGGGATATAATGCATGCAGTTCTGATTTATCTTCAAGTCACTGGATACTTGTTTAAGGTGTGAAAGAGTTATTGGTTCACTAGGGCTTGTGAGAGTTCAATCCAAAAGCTCTAACCTCTTGAACCAAGAAGTGATCTTTGTCAGAGCTGTATAATCAGAAACTTAAAAGTGTGAATTTTTTTTCTAACATTAGATCCATGAAACTCAAGTGGATTCTATATTTGGTTTAGAATTATCCCATCTCTAAAAATTCTGAGAGGGAACACAGCCAGGGAATGGATGGTTTGTTATGACCGAAACATAAATTTGTACATTTCCTCCTTAGTTTAAAGCCAAGCTCCTCAATATATATTAAGAACCTCACCCCACTCTCTCTGCCTAGCCAAGTTTATC